TCTTGTTGGTGGTACAAACAGTTTGGAGGGACGTGTTGAGGTATGCAGTAGTGGAGCGTGGGGTACAGTTTGCGATGATTACTGGGATTCAACTGATGCTGGTGTTGTATGTAGACAGCTGGGATATGATTCAGGTAAGGAAAGGTTTATAGGTTAATTGGAGTGTGAGTGTCCCAACATAGGAACTGCATTTGGTAGTGCCTACTTTGGACAAGGAAATGGATCAATTGTGATGGACAATGTCCAGTGTGATGGAAGTGAATCTTACCTTACAAACTGTACACACATCACAAATCACAACTGTGGTCACTCTGAAGATGCAGGAGTCAGATGTGCTTGTAAGTTATTTTTTTGTATATTGTATATTTGAATGTCTTTGTATGTACCATATTTGCCTGATTAGAGGCCCAGCTTAAATAAATGCCCATCCTTAAAATATTCTCGCTATAGATTTGCATATTTACCCAATTTATGTAGCCCTAAATTTAGATTGCTCCAAATAGCTGAACTCTTGAAGCAAAGTTTAGTAACCTAGGGGACATAGGTTCAATCCTTCCTTTGGCAGATTTTTTTAATGCAATTTTTTCTTGTTAATGAATAAACGCCCGGGCTTCTAATCAGGCAAAGACAGTATTGCATGTATAACTTGATAGCTTGAGTAAAATGGCACTTTAAACTTTTTGATTCACTGTTGCAAGTGATAAAAATGCAGCTTTATAATATAATATCTATGTGCATACTTATACAGTTAAGTAAAATTTGTATTTATAATGTATCTGTCATGAACATTTAGATGAACTGTTTTATGTATTTGCAAGTTGAGCTTCATCTGCACTTGTCTCTCAATAAAGGTTTCACTTTTTAGCAAAAGCATTCTAATTGCTGTACACATACATTGATAAAGCAGATTGGGATTGTTTTTGAAGAGCTAAGTCAATGTGTTTAATATTATTTGACTTCAGTAGCTACAGATTAAGAAAAAATGTGTAGGAGTTCAAATCAAACACACAGCCATCCTTAGCTTCAAATATCTTTATAGAACTGGTGCTGACTGTAGCAGTCACTGAACCACAGTGCTTGTATGAATATCATTACAAAGTCATATGATGCTTCCTTTGGCAATTTATGAATATTGTTCCTGCAATGTATTTCATGCACAAATAATTTTTAATTTGGTGCTGAGTTGCATTTTTAATTGTATATCAATTAAAAATCTGTTACTGTTCTTACTGCTTTGTCAGTTCCTTTATGCATGCATTCTCATAATCATTGATGCATGTCCATTCAGTATAGATACAGGAAAGGAAACAGCCTGGATCATGTGATATTTTATATTATGGAAAAAATACTGTTTGTGGCAAATTTTTTGATGTTCATTTGTGGATATGGTTCCTTTTTTTGTAGTTTAAAAAGTCTTATGAGGCTTTCTTTTATTGTCTTTTTTTTGGCCAGTTATAAAGACGAGCTATATAAGCTTTTATTCTACTTGTAGAAGTACAAAAAGGCACTGCCTACTGAAACATGTAGATGATATGGCTGTATAGTGGGCTGTTTCCTATCCAGATCATCTTTGCCATTAATATTGTTACTGTATCAATATGAAATGGTAATAGGGCCAAACACTAACAATCCAATGTTAAAGTAGCACAACTTACTTATGCATGTACTATACCGTATTTGCCTGATTAGAAGCTGAGCTTAAATAAACGCCCATCCTTAAAATATTCTCACTATAGATGTGCATATTTTACCCAATTTAAGTAGCCTGAACTTTAGATTGCTCCAACTAGCTCAACTCTTGAAGCACAGTCTGGTGACCTAAAAGACATGGGTTTGATCCCTGCTTTTGGCAACTTTTTTTCTTTTTACACAAAATTTCCCCTCATTACTGATTAAATGCCCGGGCTTCTAATCAGGCAAATATGATACATGTATTATTTTATTTGTGTTTATGTGGTATTATTATACAATAAAAAAGTGTGTCACTACATTATGTCTAGTTCTAGTTTTTATCACTTCAAACTATGATCTGTACATGTACAGAGTCTACTTTAGTAAATCAATTCATAAAGAACTAAAAATATAAATAATGCTCAAGTATTTAATTAAGTTTATCTAACAATAATAATTATTATGAAGTTATTTCCATTTACAGATTGCACTACTGGATCAATCCGTCTTGTTGGTGGTTCACACGATTGGGAAGGAAGAGTGGAAGTGTGTGATAGTGGATCATGGGGCACTGTCTGTGATGATCTCTGGGGCTCCCCTGATGCAGCAGTAGTGTGTAGACAACTAGGCTGGGGAACAAGTGAGTTGATTCCTTTTGACAATGAATGATATATTGTGACAGGTGGAACTGCTCGATCAAGTGCCTACTTTGGTCAGGGTACTGGTAGTATCCTCCTGGATAATGTTCAGTGCACAGGAACAGAAGAGTTTTTGACAAACTGCACACACTTAAGTACTCACAACTGTGGACACTATGAGGATGCTGGAGTATCTTGTGACGGTTAGTTTATAGAATAAATTTGTAGCGTTGTGAGATGTATTTATTACTTTAGTTTGTACTTCTGGTTCTCTGCGTCTTGTTGGTGGATCAAACTCAAACGAGGGAAGAGTGGAACTATGTCAAAATGGAAGGTGGGGTACAGTGTGTG